AGAGAGGAGAGAGAGAGAGAGAGAGAGAGAGAGAGAGAGAGAGAGAAAGAGAAAGAAAGAAAGAAAGAAAGAAAGGAAAAGAAAGAAAAGAAAAAGAAAAAGGAAGGGAGGAAAGAAAGAAGGAAGGAAGGAGAGAAAGAAAGAAGGAAAGAAAGAGAAAGCAAGCAAGCAAGCAAGAAAGAAAGAAAAAGTGAGATTTGGGTGGGGACACAGCCAAACCATATCAGAAGCTCAGCAAAGACACTGTGCTCCATATTCTGTGATAATAACAATGACAACCATAGCGGTTTTCTTTTTTAATCACTTAATATGTGACAGGCATTGTGCTACTAACCTCTTTCTATGCATTAGTAACATATTATTAATCAAAATAACCCTGGAGGTGAGGTATTATTATTATTTTTATTTTACAGATGACACAGAAAGAGGTTAAGATAGCATGACCAGGACTGGCAGGTGGCAGAGCTGGGCTTAAGTACAGGGCTGAAGTCTGATCCCCAGAGGCCAGGCCCCTAATGATTGAACTCCTGACCTGGCCTGGAATGGGAGCACTGTACCTTGGCTCATTCCCAGTAACTGGAGAATGCCTGATGGTCACATATAAAGGCTGGTCATTCCTCTGCTTGAATTGGACATAATAACAATGCTTTTCTTATATATTATGATTACTGTCCCATCCTCTCTCTAATTGTATAGGGAATTGCGGGGTAGGTGTTAGAGACAGAATACTTGTTTTTAGGAACTGCAATGAAAAATTATCATTCAGACAAAAAGTTTTCTCAGCAAGCCAATTTTACTTTCTGCAGAAAGGGTACTGCTCATCAGCCATCTTGCCACAAGAGGATAGTGAACAAAGGGAAGGAAGGCATTCCTTACGCATTGGGTCTTTACTGCTGTATCTTTTCTCCATTGGTTGGATCCAGACTTCACAATCTAAACTAAACTTGATTGGCCAACAACTTAAACATTTTCTAAACAGGTAAAGGCAATGGAGAACAAAGGAAAAAAGGAAGTCTAAATAAGGAACAGAGAGGAAGTTGCTTGTGAAAGGACTTCGAAAAGTAATAGCATAAATATCTTGGTTAAAGTACAAGGACATAGAATATACTACATGCCTGTGAGCATGCCTAGCACATAAATATCTTGGTTAAAGCACAAGGACATAGAATGTTCTTATTTCTTTATATCTAACAGCTACATAGGATAGGGCTTAACAAAGAGTTACTAGCAGAAAGCAAGAAGGCTTTGAAGAAAGTTAGTTGTTAAAAGAAACTACTTTTTCTAGCATATATTCTTCTTGTTTAACAAGAAGGGAAACTTTGAAGAGGAAGTTTTTACTTTGTATAGTAGGGAAGAGAGGATTCCAGGAGTATCTGATTTTGGTCCAGAGACTGATGAAAATCGGAAGTCCAGTGACTGGCAGGTGCCACCAGGGGCAGATGTAAAGGATGTCCTTGAGAAGCAAAGAATATTGGGAGTCCATTTCAGTTGCCCTGTCTTAGTAGCACAGGGAAGAGAACAGCTCCCAGGACTTAAGTGTGAAGGACCCTGCAGTGGGCGGGCCCGGGAATGATGGCAATGCCTAGGTGCCAGAAGGGGCTAGCAGCTTGGAGCCAGGCCCCAGAGTGTGTGCTGGCTCGACCCATCAATGGGCCAATTGGAGACATGGCTGTCTCACTCTGGTGGGGGTGGGAAGCATCTTTGGCATTAGAGGGGAGCATCTCCCCAGAGAAACAGCAGGGTATAGGACCTGTTTGGTGGACCTCACATGTAGGTGAGGTCAGTAGCCATAGGTTGAACCAAAGGAAGTCAAAATGAGGACAGAGACTCCTCAGCACAGACATCGCCCAGTGACATAGAAATAATCTCTGCCTTCCTCTCTTCCTGCCCTTCTTCCCCAAGGCCCAACCTCAGGGGAGCAGAGGAGATAGATGGAGGATGAGGAGGAAGGCATTGCAGAAACAGACAGCACCCTCTTTCCCATTCTAAGCCCCAGCCGCCCTGGGGAAGGGTAAGAGCTGTGAAAGCAGAATGAGTTCAGTGTTCTCAATTGAACCGGCCTAAATGTCAATCACTGAAAATGATCTGGGCTGGATGGGGCAAGGTGGGGACACTCAGAGTTGTAATCCCAACACTTTGAGAGGCTGAGGCAGGATTGCTTGAAGCCAGGATTTTGAGACCAGCCTGGGCAAAGTAGCGAAACCTTGTCTATACAAAAAAATTTAAAAAATAACCAGGTGTGATGGCATGCACCTGTAGTCCCTGTTACTCAGGAGGCTGAGGCAGGAGGTTCACTTGAGCCCAGGAGTTTGAGGCTACAGTGTGAGCTATGATCATGACACTGTGACACAGCGAGACCCTGAATCTCTCTCTGTAAAGAAGAAAATGATCTGAAAGGAAATTTGTCTAGGGAAATGGGGGTCCCCATCCTCTAACTGAGAGCAGGGACTAGATACGCAAAGTCATTTGACATTTGTATCTGCATTGAGCTAGCCTTCTGTTCACTAATCTGCTAATGCTGCCATAACACACATTGTGCAGACTGTGCCATAATATAGATTAAGTGGTTTAAACAAGAAAAATTATTTTTCACGACTTGAAGGCCAGAAGTCTGAGAGGAAGATGCAAGCAGCATTGGTTCTTCCTCAGGCCTCTCTCCTTGGCTTCCAGATGGCTCTCTTCTCTCTGGGGCCTCACAGTCTTTCCTCTGGGTGTGTTGCTGTCCATCTCGTCGTCTTCTGAGGACAGTGAGCACACTGAATTAAGGCCCACTCTAATACCCTCATTTTAACTTAATTATCTCCTTAAAGGCTCTTTCTCCAAAGACAGTCACATTCCAGGGTACTGGGGGACAGGACGTCAACATATGAATCTGGTTTCAGGGTTCAGGATTTAGCCCATGACAGTCCATTAAATGTGGATTCACTGAGGCCCGTGGGGAAGTGTGCTATTTTCCTGGAGCACATGGTGCCTGCAGCCTGCCAAGGTTAGTGACGTCCACTGCTGCCCACTCCTGCTGTTGTTGCTGATATTGAATGGCAAGGCCATAAGGCTTGGGAACACCATCTGTGGGGGCTCCAGCAGGAACAGGAAGCACTGGAAACCCAGGTGCTCTTTTTGTCCTACAGATGGCTGAGACTTAGGGAAACAAGAACATCCACGATGTACCATTATTCCATGAAAAGGGCAGTTTGCAAAACCGAAAGTACAGCATGATTGGATTTTAAAAGAATGTTTTTCAAAATAGAAAAAGAATGTGTGTATGTGCATGCATGTGGGATCAAGCCTTTTATCTGTGCAAGCAGAGAACTCAGACATGAAAGACAGCAATAGGGTAGCAGGGGTTATTCCGGCAGGTGGGAAGATGGGTGACTTCCATTTTAACAATATATTGTATTTGCTACAATGAATTTGTTACTTTTGTGATATAAAAGAGAGAAAAGGGGCTGGGCACAGTAGCTCATGCCTGTAATCCCAGCACTTTGGGAGGCTGAGTTGGGCGGATCACTTGAGATCAGAAGTTTGAGACCTGAGGCAACATGTTGAGACCCTGTCTCTACTAAAAATATAAAAATTAGCTGGGCTTGGAGCTGCACAGCTGTAATCTCAGCTGCTTGGGAGGCTGAGGCAGGAGCATCACTTGAACCCTACAGGGGTTGCAATGAGCTGAGATCGCACCACTGCACAACAGAGCGAGACTCTGTCTCAAAGGAAAAAAAAATGCAATGACAAAAGAGAGAAAGGGAATATTGGAAAGAAACAGGAGGTGAATGTTTGGCCTCATAGTTGGAGTTAGTGAATGGAATTTGGATTTCTGAGCCAGGATTTAAAATGTCAGATTGACTGGTTTGGGAGGACTAAAGAGAATCAGGTGTACAAGGAGGAGATGAACATTTGCCCAGAGCCAAGACGCCTGGAATCAGAAGATCTGAATATGACTGGGGACTGGGGGTAGAGGACCCTTTGGTGTGTCTGCGAAGCATCACACTAAGAGTGATTGGGCTGCCTCTGAAA